TGCACTGAAGCAGAAATGGCAGCTATGCGAATCCACATGCAGGCCATTTTACAGGAGGATTAGAGGACATCGTCCGTCTCCTCAGTGTACCCTGGGAGTGTACAGCACATCACAATGTGGCCAACACAATCACTAAAATTCACCAGAATGTCTTCACACTCCTATATTTTCTGGAATCTCCCAGCCTCCTTGTCACCATTTTAACTGGACAAAGGTCTGTTGTAGTTTTGATTTTGTTTTCATTTTTTTTAAAGTACAGCAAAAACAGCAATGTGAAGAATGCTTCTCCCTAGATCAGGACTCTGAGGAAAGCTGTTTTTCTACTGTTTGATATAAAAGTAAGCAGTTCAGTGCAGGGTGCAATAGCCAACTATGTTCCTAACCCTCCTTCAGGTATTACTCCTAAAATCATGATGTGGGAGGAGATATTTATGAATGTGCGATGGTTTCAGTCGTTTTGAAGGCTTGCTCCAAGATTGGCTTTGGTTGATGATATTCATCTCTAGAATCAAATCTAATGAATAAATAAAACAGTTGCCCTGTACAAAAGGCTTGGTAAGCCATTCATCAAAGTATGATAAAGATATATTATATTCTCAGATACACCCACATAAATACGGGGCGGGGGGGGAAAGTCTGTTTCAGTAAAGCTATTCATATTATCCAATCTGGCCACCTGAATATGGCAAGTTAAGAAAATTAATTCAGGTAAGTACAAAAGCTGTGGCTGGTTCATTTTAACACATTCCAGCAGAATTTACTCTAACTTGACACTGAAACAGATAAAATCAAAATCTACTCTACAAGAGACTGTGTAAAGAGCAAAATTTTCAGCCAGATTGTGGAAATCAGGCTAAAATGACTGTTCGAACAAATTTTAGGAGACAGAACTTCAGTTAGCTTGACTCCACTGACTTCAGGGGAGCCATCCCAAATACCATCAGCTGGGAATCTGGCACTGTCATAAAAAAGGTTTAGTTTGCAGGCTACCACTGGCATATCTGGTACTTTTAGTTAAGATTTACATCTTCTTACAGACTGTAACAAAAGAAACAACCAAAATGGAATTTTAACAAAGGGCATCACTCCAGGTAAGTGTCAAAGAATAAATGCATCTTGTTCTACCAGCTGTGTAAAAGAAGGGGAAATAATGTTGAATGTAGCAGAAGAGTAGCTCTTGATACACTGTGCTGCAGAAAGGGATGAACTACCAGAGGTACAAGTCCATAGAACTGTATAATTACTTCCTTTATAACTTTGCTCTCTTCTGATTATGTACATACATTTTAAAGGCCCTCCATGCTTCAAAAGGGCATGGGAAGGGGGGGGGCAGCTCTTTATAGCTGCTGGTAAGAAATCCTAATCTCAACACTGGTGTAAGCTAGAGGTGTCTATACATTTGAGCACTTCCTGTTTTCACTTCGTGATCAAATATGTTCTTTGCAGGGCAAATAGGGGAGCACTTGAGGGAGGAAAGCAGAGATGTCTGAGAGGCTAATTGAGTGTACTAAGGACTCCTTGGCGTAGAGGAAAAGGAGTCTTCCAAAGCTATGAATAAACTCTCGGCTTGGGTCAGATTTCTTGCTGTTTCTTTTCTTTAACCACCTTTGAACTCAAATAAAAACAGCCTCAATGTCAGGTTTACCTTTCTGATGTTGTAATCTTTATGTACTATTGAAAAGCTTATACTACCAGACTAGGATTTCCTCTACTTTCTTAAACACTGGATATTATCCAGAAAAAGCATGCACATTTCCAACCAATTCATCCTCAGATCTTTCATCTTCCGGTACTGTTGTAATTCCAAATGTAAGACAGAGCTCAGTAAGTGAATGAGAACATGACAGAAGCTCCTATTCCTTGCATTTGATTTCCATGCATGTGTATCCAATTTCAAATATAATTAAAGTTACTGAAAAAATGAAGCTGTGATAGGGGTTAGAAATTGTTTTGAAAGACACAGCCTGTCAGATACATTAATTCTACATCAGAGTTCAAGTGCCTGTCTCTTCAAAAAAGCCACTTAGGCAATTCAATTTTTAAAATCGGCTACCTTAGGAGTTTGCAAACTGATTGCGTAAAGGAAAAAAAAATAGCATTTTATTTAAAATAGTAAGTAAATACAATTAATCAGAACTGAGTTATTCTCTTTGAATTTGACAATCTAAAGGAATTTCAAGTTTAACCCACGCCATAAGAGATGGCCTGTCACTGCCTCTCCTTCCAGGGAAACCAGAGGTTAATGATTTTTGTCATATTGAGACTAACAGCTAACAATTGCTACAGTTGGCCTTTAGTATTTTATTTGTCCTTTTGAGGTATTCAGAATAGGTGACAATGGCTTGCAGTTGAGAACATATGTAGAGAGACCCCTGTGGCTTATGGAAAAGTTGCTCCATGCTGGTTGGGTGTTTGAAAAAAAAATACAACCAGAGCTCTTTTATGTTCCTCTCCTTAATGAATGCATGAATGTCAAAATGTACCAATGGCCCATTCAGGGAGCAAAGCCTAAGCAGCTCCTTCTTTAAGAACACATCCTGAGATGTAAAATACATTTGCTTAACAAATTAAAATAATGAGATAATTCAATTAGTTTCTTTTTTTTTTTTTTTTTAAAAAAAAAAAAAAAGAGAGAGAGAGAAAGAAAAAAGGGTACATCAGAGGATTATTGTAATACAAGAACAGGTCATACAGCACAAAGGAGGAACAAACCAATTTGAAATAAGGTTAGAGTAGTAATGAAGGAATGTACATTGAATCATGGACTGCCATTGTAAAGATATTTACTTGAAACAATAAAATTGTACATCAGAGATTCCCCCATTCTGGCTCAGCCATCATTGCACTTTGAATGGACAAGCTAATTCGAGAAAAAGTGCGAGATCTTTAAGAGAAAGGAGTTCTCTTCCTTCCCTGCATGTGTTTATGGCAAGAATCTTTCTGAATTTACATTGCACTGGTCAGGGGTCTCCATTATCAGTTTGCAGGTCTGAGAATTACAGCACAGTAAATCTTTCAACACCTGCAAACTCATTAAAGCTTGGATGGTAAAAGGTTTGGGGCTTTTTTGTGTTCATTTAATTTGATTTTTGTGAGGCCATCCTCACAAGTGATGGCAAATTTCCTCAATTCATGCAGGATGGAGAGGGTCAGGAGAGAGAGGATGGAAACAAGGGAAAGGGATTTCAAAAAGCCAGGAGGACTTTCCTCAAGAGAAGCGAGAGACAGTTGACTGTTTAATAAGCATGTGTCGAATGCTTTCAAGGAGCACGTGAGAAAGGAAGGCAGGGAGGAAAAAAGCCAAGATATTACAAATTTCATAAGAGGAAATGGAGTTAACACGGAGACATGTACAAAACAAACTCGTTTATTTGTGGCCCTGCTTTTTGCTGTCTGCTTGTACTACTGCTCTAAAGATACCCTACAGCTAAATGAAAAACCCTCCACTCACACTCACTCGACTTCCAAATTAAAAACATTTTACAGGTTAGTAAATCTCCAGCTGAGGTGATGTAGCAAAGAACAGCTGTGAAGTAATTTTGATAATGATGAGAATAATAAGCACATGGCAAGGTTCAGGGCTTTGCTGTTGCAGCTTCAGTGCTCCTGAATAGATAAAAGTGATTAAATACTCCTGATTATCCCTGACCAATATGTAATGGATTTACAGCCCTTTCAATTAGTCAGTATTTGCTTAGGACTCATTATTTTGTCTTTGGTTAAGTAATCAGCCCAGAGACTCATGTTCTGTCTAATTCCTCTGAGCCAAGTGGGTACAGGGCACCTGACCTTTGAAATGGCCATAGCTGGGAGGCAGGAATAACCACTACTCCAGCAGAGACACTGGCTATTCCAGCTAATCCTGACCCCACAGGCCAGATCAATGCACCTTAGTTTGCTACTAATGTCCTTACATCAAAATGATGGTTTAGAAATGTGGATCTATCGCTCCCCCCCTTTAGCTGTGCTGCTAGCAGAGCAGTTCGATAGTCCCTATCATAAATAAATCGGGTACCTTCTCCTGAAATCATTACACTGTAACCAACATCAGCTACCATGGAAATGTATAAAACTTTGGTAGAAGAAGAGGTAGTTAATAACAGTTAGCTTTTTAAGCCTTATCAAGTGACAAACAATTTTACAGTGAGAGGAAGAGGAAAATCAATTGATAATTTTACCAGTTTCTATTATTTCCCGCATGAAGTAAACTACAAAGAGTGTTACTAGGTTTTCTGAGGAACCATGTTTTGATGCCTAAGTGAAGCTATAACAGTCAACAGAACACCAACACACAAAACCAATTTCAAGCAGGAGGATAAAGATAGCCCATGGAAAACATTGCTTTTTCACATATTTAATCTCTCCCCAAAATGTGAATATGGCTAGTTTTTAACATAATGGACTTGAAGAGAAGCTAAAAAAGTGCTTATTCTCTCTGTTACGCAACTGAAGAATTAGGGAACCTGTAAGACTTCTATATTTCTCACAGAAAGTAAAAATGACAAGTTTGCAAGCTGCTGCTTTGACTTTTCTACCATCCACAGTGTATGTCAGCACACACAGACTGGGGCGCTCTCTTCCACCACATACATATGAAGTTTGTGTAAACAGAGGACAGCAATAAAGAATCCAGAAGGCAAAGCTTTATATATGCTAAAGCAAGAAACCCCTTTTTTTGTCCTTAGAAACATTTTGAATAGTTAAAAGCAAAAAATGGTTGTTTTATATGTAGGTGTTGTTCCATGCTAAGGCTTTGTACTCTTTCTCTCTGTATAACCACGTATATGTGTATATATATACACATAGGTTTCTTTCAAATTTGTCATGATTCCAAGAGCCAAGAAAAAAAAAATCTAGAAGAAAAGGGAAAAAAAAGCAGCAACATAATTGAGCCCTAATAATGATCCAAAAATTATGGGGACAATTGATTTCTAATAACGATGAATAAACCTCATTAAGCACATGAATAGAAATCTATTTTGGTTTTGGGCACCACTTACTGTGAGATGCTGGAAAAGCCATGCTCTCATGATATTTGTTGCTACTTTGGGGAAAATGCCTCTTTTCTTCTGACGCTTTTTGTCCTTGTCTGGGTCATCGTCATCCCCTGTACCAGGTGAGGCTACACTGTTGTCTAAACCATCTCCTACAACAAAGAGAAAAACAGGAAGGAGGAGAAATTTAATGAACAAAATATAAAAGCCAAAAAGTATCATTCATTACCAAGACACTACCACAGTTTTATTTTTATTTGCTAGATCAGGCACATACAGTTTCTCATTATATATGAGTGCCGATACAAATATGTAAAAATTAGAAACCATGTCTCTCCAAATACTAATTTTGCGTTTCACACATGCATATATCATTAATTCAATTATAATTGTGTGCTTGACATAGTGCAATAGCTCTTTGTCAATTATGGGATTCAATGTGGGAAAACCTGCCACAAGAAAACCCATTCACTGTAAATGCATCCCTACAACCATTCTGAATACGTACTATAAGTAATCAAGTTAAATGTTCTGTAGTCTATATATTCTAGGCCCTCTGCAGAGGTGGCAGTAACCATGTCACCGTTCAGTGCACATAACACACTGTCAGATGAGCCCCTCCCCATAACCAACACCTCCCAACACACACACATACGTACGCACAAACACATACACCTAGTATGACCCTGGATATAGCATTTGCATGACATGAAAACTTCTACATCTCTGCAACAGTGATTATTACCATTAAAAAAAAAAAGATGCACATCAAGGTAGAGCTCTCACTTAATCAGAACTTTCCATCAACATCTTTCTCTTCTGTGCTTTTCCCTGACATTAATTGTGCATTAGCAAAAATCATTTACTTTTAACAGTCATAGTTATTTTTTCTTGCCCTCCAGCAAAAATGCCTTGAAAGCCTGCCTGGAGGGCATCTAAATTATGTATCTGAAAAACTCTTCTGGCAAGGCATTGCAGGACCCCTACTTTCTTAAAATTCATACGAGCACGTCTCCCTGTTTTTGGGAAGGCATCAATCAAGAGCAGCAATATATGCCATATTCCTACATTAATATTTGAACTAATAACTTTAAAAAAAGGAAAGAAACAAGATCCGACTTGTGGCATAATCAAATGCAAAATAAATGAAGAATACTGGGACAGCACTGAGACTTTATAGATTGCTGTGTTTTCCTTACACATCATTAGCCCGGAGCCACACGAAAGAGGAAAACAGAGAAGTGGAGAGTTTATGCTCCCTGCTGGTGTTTAAGAAGCCGAGGTCCTGGAAGGACATCTGGGAATTGTGCTGAGACGGTGGTTTTTGTAATTTAAGAATAGACATTCATTAGCAGTAAATGCCATAAATCCCATGCTAAGTAAAAACCTTGTCCAAGAAAGCCTAAAACAATAAACTCTGTGCTCAATGTAGCCTGAGCTAGACGCTCCATAGCTTCCTGAGGAATGCTATAGATTCACGAGCTAATTCCTATAGCCTTGTCTAGCTCTGTAGTGCTACTAAGCGAAATACGTTGCTGCAACATACAGTCCATTTGCTTCAAAACTTGCATTTCAGCTCCATCTTCCCTCCCGTGCCAGATCACCCTTCTTCCACTGCCTCCTCTGAAAAACCAACCCTTTTGGACAGGAGAGACAGAAAAAGCCACAGCAAAGAGCTGGCAGATTAATTTTATTGACATTTCCATTTTCACTGCAATGTGATACCCTCCATCACATGGAAGAGATGACCCTCACTATTTACAGACTGACAGGCCACTTCATTACAACCACCCTGCCCCAAGGCAGAGCAGCTCCTTTCCATCTGCCCAAACACCAGAGCAAGACCCTGAAGTCGCTGCTCTCTTTCTCATGCTCCTTTTCTTTTTTTTTTTTTTTTTTTTTTTTGTTTTGTTTTGTTTTGTTTTGTTTGTTTCTGCTAACGATAGAGAAAGGAGAGTCGAATCACAGCAAACTATTCTATGAGATTATGGAAGCCCTAAACACTGTAACCAACTGTTCACTTTTGCAAGATGTTGGTTATTTAGAAAGCACTCTTTTCCATTGCTCTCTCCCCCCATATATTCCACCCTACTCCTCTCTCTCTCACACACACACACTTTCCACTATGCCAAGGAACTGCTGCAAGGCAAATTCTCACAAACACTAATGGCTTCTGACTGCTCCTTGGCAACCCCAGCATTTTAACCTGGGTGGATATGCTCTCCAAAATACAGACACTGGAGCTATCTCATCAGCTGTTCATGTGACACAGATGGAGAGTGGCTATTAGGAGCCAGGCAATGGGCCTTGGGGATCTGAGGTGCTGTACTGTAGCCTCAGGCAATTTTGAAAAGCAGTACCCGGAGATGGGGGGAAAAAAATCCCTACTGAAAGTGCAAGTTTGAAGTCAGTCAGTCTGTTTGTCTATCTGTCGTGTGGATAAAGATATCTTTGTCTCTTTATGTAAAAGCTATGTGTGTATGCAGAGGATGCGTGGAGCTGTAAAACTTCTGCTCTGCACCGCCCTTCCGCACTGCAGAAGCACCGGTTCACCTTCTGTATGGTCAAACTCCTGTTTGCCTGCATATACATACTCTCCTGTTTGTGAGCATCCTCAGCAAGAGTCATCTACATACTACACCAGTGTTTAGACCTTTTGGAGAGGTTGTTAATATACTGGTTTTCAAAAGCTAATAGCAGCCCAGGAAAGGAAAGTTCAGCCAAAGCTCCCATTGTTTTCCCACCTTAATCAGCAGTTGAAATGCTTCCCTAATCTGTTCTGTAACCTCATGAAAGGAAATTCAAGTGTCATACCTCCAAATTACGTCAGAAGATGAATGCAACAAGATTTGTTGCTCCTGGTGAACTATAGGCCAAATTCTGTTAAGCTGTGTTGTCATATCTTTAATAGCACTACAACTTCTCACATTAGTGGATACTGTTTCTAGTGGCAAGAAATCATAGAAGTAGCCCATAACTGACTTTTCTAAAATGAATGGAAATTGATATAGAGGGCCTAATCCTAGTTTGCTGTATCCAAATAAACATGAGTTACTTTAAATGAAGAAAAAGAAATTATCAGAAGTGAAATAAAATGAAGACGCAGAAGTCACTCCATGGCATACAGGATTAATTATATTTTTAACTGCTGTATGAAGGAATCATAATTGAAATCATTTAAACCATCATTACAAGTGATTCTGATTATGTGAACTGTTCATATCCTGATTTGGATGGTAATTTATAAGAAGGGTAGAGTCAGGTTCTAACTTGTATGGAAATTGCAATTATATAAGCATAGTTATCCCAGTTTTCTAGTGGAGAAATTAAATCTAGATTTTGTCCCACTGACTTTCTCTTTCACACAGCAGAAAAAAAAAAAAAAAAAAAAGAAGGGTGACTTTTTCCTTCTTTGCACACTGTTCACTCATTTATTCTTGTGCAAAGAGTACAAGTGATTGCAAAACCCTACCATGGTTCTAGGAAAGCGGAGAATTCTTAAGTGGCACTCTCTTTGTGGAGGTGTCAATGACTATGCAGGATTCAAGCCGGTAGCGAATTAGGCATATTACCCAGCTTGTTTAAGATTATATCAATACTATGCAATAGTCTCAATAACCCTTATAAAAGATGGAGAGAGTCTACAACAAACTTTGCAAAGTGACCCACATGGGGTTCCTTAGACACCTTCTCTTCTAGGAGAAGAGTTTGTGAAGGAGGCTGAAGATGCAAGTCTTCTTTACACAGTGGGAAGTTAGGCTTCCACACTAGCTCTGTGTGCAGACACTCTTAGCATGTTCTGAGAGTTTCCTCCTGCAACATAAATTATTTTTCATTCAGATCAAAGGAGATTACCCCTTATTTTAAAAATACTGAATAAATGGTTAGAACAGGGTTTCCACTGCACTATAATTTCAAACTTAACTTCATGTAAACTGATTTCCTTGGACAGACTAGGTTGCTGACCCCGATGTTCATACAGCTTAGGACTCTTTGGGAATCAGTCCAGTCCTACAGAAGGCCTGTCAAACCTTCTTGTATCAACGAATGCCTCTTTGACAATCCTCCACACTATCAGTATTATCTCAACCCTAGTCCTTGTTTGTGTTCCTCACAGAGTGAAGGCCCAGCAAGAGATGAAACAAACGCTGTTTAGAAGTTGCTCATCTAGTCTTTTCACCATTTGTAAACAGGATGAATAACAAATTCCCAATCTATGCAAAATGATAACTGAAGAGGATAGCCCAGTCAGGTCAAAACACAGAAGCCTAGTAACAGCCTAGATCCAAACTCTAGAAATAGTTTCTATTACCATCATAACAAGCAGAGCAGTAAGAAAAGTGATTTCTGGAAAAATACATTTGAGGGCCTAGTGTTTGAGTTCCTTCACTATCAGAGGTCCCTTACGGCTTTATAGTTTGCATACTAAAGGAAAAGAGAGAAGAGCAGGGATATTTAAGGCAGGGGAAAGGCAAGACACACTTCACCATTTTTCTAAACATAGTGCAAGCAATATGAAAAATAAGTTAAAGGATTCTGAAAAGGAAAGCTGCAGTGCACTATGATGATCTTAAACTGCACTACGATCTTTCAGTACAGTATTTTGATGGAGTAGAATATGTAGATATAAATGCAAAACAAAGAGCAGAATCTGCATGCGACTTAGATTAAGTGTGCAATTATTTGTACTTATAATGTGTCTATCTGGACACAGAAGTATTGTAAACCATTATTAATAAGGATGTTCAACTTAGCAATATGATCCACATCACCACCAGAGAAAAATCTTAAAAGTCTGGTTAATTACCACTGCCAAAAAATGGAAAGAGAAGTTTTTATATACACTTTGAAGATAAGACAGTCTGTGCTGCAGGGAGCACTAACAGAGAGGGAAGGTCAGCTCCAGAATCAAAGACTCTTCAGGAGAACTCCTTATCTCCATTCCACCATGTTAAAATCATCAGGCTTCTAACCTTACAGCTTCAGCAGATCACAGCTCTTTGAACGAAGTGCTGGCTGTGGGGTTTTTTTTCTCCTCCTCTTAGTGATCACTGTCCATGTGAGTTGACTCAGTCTCCTTAAACCACAGAAGCAATACTCATCTACTGCATCTTACTGTCTAGGGAAACTGAGTTAGGGTGGGTTAGGGGTG